CACGCCAAGAGGGTCACCATCATGCCCAAGGACATCCAGCTGGCCCGTCGCATCCGCGGGGAGAGGGCTTAGGCAGTTTCTGTATTGGCACGAATATCCTAAAAAGGCTCTTTTAAGAGCCACCTACATCATCTGCCGAAAGGTGCTGTAGTACTCTGGCAGTTTGGCAAGTATATCATGTCCCATGTTTTTAGCTACCGTTGACCTTTTTATGGCTATAATAGCCTGTCAAAAGCAGCCCCGTCCCATGGTCGTTCAGAAGGAGCTAGAAGCAGTTAAACACCGTCATCCAAGCACAAAAGCAGTGTCTGCGTTAGCTGAGCAAATACTGGGAGCAAAAAGCTTCAGGATTGTTCCTTTGCTGTCATCCAACAGTCTTAATAAGGCAGTTTTAGTTTCTTAGGATTGGCATGGTGGGGCAAAACTAACATTGTTTCTCCTTTCCTACTAGCATTCAATACCAATGTTAGTGGTTTGGGGACACACACTAAACTAGGGTATAATGCTAGTTACTGTTAAATTTGAATCTTTTACATATCCTGGGCTGGCCGTCAACATTTTTTTTGGGCTTTTTTGTTTTCAAGACAGGTTTCTCCTTGTATCCCTGGCCATCTAACTCCGATTCCCTTGCTGTTACCTCCTTAGTGCTGGGATTAAAGGCATGTGCCAGACCACTCAACCCGGCTCAGTTTTGTTGAGGAGGACACTAATTTCCTGACCTTCCTGACTCCTTCCCATAGGCCAGTGCTACCACCTTGGCTACTTTATTTTATTTTGAAGGTTTAACATAAATGATAATAAAAACTTAGGTGTGGTGGCTCACACCTTTAATCCCAGCATTTGGGAGACAGGCAGATCTCTGAATTCACCAACCCATTTAGATATAGCAAATTCCAGGCCACCCAGAACTACGTACCAAAATCCTGACTTTAAAAAATATATATATATTAAAAAAAAAAAAAACTTAGAAGGAAATGCAAGAATCATTTTTTTAGAAGGAAATGCAAGAATCATTTTTTTTAGAGTTTGAAAAGAAAGAACAAAAAAAAAAAAAAAGAAAAAGACTGCAAGAAATCTGTAAATCTTGACAGATGCCAAACAAGAAATGAATGGGTAAGAGAAAAAGAACAGCCAGTCACAGAAAGCAGAGAAGTTCAGCCATAGGAATTTGCAAACAGCTCTACAGGGAGTGGAGGGAATTCTTCAGAGTACTAAAGGCAAACAGGCTTAGGATTCTGGCCTGTATTCAATAATAATAGAAAAAGAAAAACTGATAATGGTGGCACATGCCTTTAATCCCCAATTGGACAGCAGAGACGCAAGCCTGGTCTAACTAGAAAGGCCAGGCCAGGCCAGGCCAGGACTACATGGTGAAAGTCTGTTTTCTGGAAAGAGAGAGAGAAGAAAGAGAGGAGAAAGGACAAGATAAAAATTACTCTTTTGAGTTGGAGCTTAGGAAACATCATCCTAAAGGGCCTCCTGGAAAATGTAAGGACATTATCCCACTAAGGCAATAATTATTTTTCCCAGGTCTCTAACACATCTTCAGGATAATCAGCAATTCTTCTTATTTGGGGGATGGGTGATATTCTATCAAAGTGACGAATAAACAATGTGCTAATCTTTAGGCCAAATCAAAATGCTATGTTACTACCCAAGGCCGAAACACAATTTAATTCCGCTGGCAAAGAAAGGTAGTTGGTCACAAAGGGAGAGAATGAAGCCCCCGATAACTCCTTTTCAGAAAGTAAGTGGGAGGTGGACTCAGAAGATGCTGCCCAACTTCAACCGCTTATAAACCTCACGCCCGCCTAGACATCCGCTGAGAAGAGCAGCTGATCCTCTAACGCTTCTAAAAGGAATCAAGAAATACTTCAGGTAAGACCACATGTGATCCAGGTTTGGTGGAGCACACCTTTGATCCCAGGAGCCCCGAAGTCAAAGAGAGGTGGATCTCTGTGAGTTTGAGGCCAGCCTGGTCTACAGAGCCCATGCCGGACAGCCAAGACTCTATTATACAAAGAAACCCTGTCTCAAAAAAATAAAAATAAAAAAAAGAGTGCACATGTGGATCTTATAATGTGCATGCACCTTTGTTTAAAACCCAAAATAACCTACAACATAAAACCATTTTTAATATCTCTGATACTTCATTATTCAGTCAGTTTTCATTGACAACACTTGCCTTATCTCCAACACGTAACAATGTAAAAATTTAATTTTTAAAAGTTTGTCACCTTGTGAGTTAAAATTTTCATTTTAAGAAAGAAACGTGTCATGGTTAGTTCTTCCAGGTTGAAGTATTTTCTCCCACATTGAAATTTATGAAAACTAATAACCATCTCTAGGCTGTTGATCAGCACATGCGTATAAATAGTGCATACATTCTGATACTTTATCCAGAAGATGACCATCTGGGTTGCATCCAGTGAGTGATACATAATTTTGAGGAGTCATCTAAGGCTTACAGGTATAAATTTTTCTAAATCCCCCAAAATTAAAGTCTCAGAAGATGTGTACGGTGACAGATGCCTGTAATCTCACCATTTAAGAAATGGAGTGAAAAGGATCAGAAATTCAGGGTTATCCTTGGCTATATAGCAAGTTTGAGGCTATCATGGAATAGGTGAGAAAGACCTGTCTCAAAATGAGGCCTTGGCTTGGTGGAACATTGCTTTAATCCCAGGACTGGTAAATAGAGGCAGGTGGGTTTCTGTGAGTTGAAAGACCTCCTGTTCTACAACAAAAGGTATATGCAGTCCGGCCCAGGACACAATGAGACCCTGACTCGAAATAAAATGAAACAAAACAAAACAAAAATTAAACTTCAGAATAATATGAGTTAAGTCTCAGAGAAAACTTCAGAAATACAAGCTCTTACCTTTCTCCACCTCCTCTCAAGACATGGTTTAGAAACCAGAATCTCATCCACAGTGCAGAAAAACCACAGTCAGCACTTTTCCCAAAGTAAGCAATAACAACTACTAAAAGATTCATCTTCACCAATCTTTTGTTCTTTCAACTAGCAATAATAATAATTTTTAAAATCCTCAAACCTCCCTTATCCAAAAGTAGATCAGAATGCAATATCATCGCTTGCTTAGAGAGTTCTGGCCATGCCCAGGAAGAAAGGTGTCACACCACAGCGAAGAGGAGTCTGGAACAGTCTGGCTGAGTTTCTTCACACAGTTACCAGAAGTAAATCATACACACTTCTTCTACTCATATTCCCACACGCTGGAATGTTACAAGGAGCTCTGTCTGCCACACACATAAAATTAAAACTGCATCTTTTGGTTGTGGTGTGTGTGTGTGTGTGTGTGTGTGTGTGTGTGTGTGTTTTCATAGAAACTGAATCTTGAAGCCGTGCTTGGTTCAGAGAACCAGTGATGTGAAAAGACAGCAAGTGCGTTAGCGCCCTGAAGATTTTTCTTCCATCTTGTCTTTACCCAGCTGATTGTGCGGCGTGGGGAGACTAAGACAGTCAGTCTTTTCAAATCTAGTTTTGTCCCTCTGATCAGATACGGGTCTTTTGTCTGATATGTATAACGTTGGTGCTTTTCTCCTTATCATCTCTCCTCGGTAGCAGGAGGAGGGTTCAAAACGACCAAAGGCCTGAGACAGTCATCCTGAGCCAGTCCTGTGAAGGACACCTACACTGCAGGTAACTGAGAAAACAAATCAGTGGCAGTGCATGGATGGACTTTCCTTCCTATAGCATGAAGCTCAAATGTGGCCTTAGAATAAAGAAAATGCAGTTCCCCTGTTATATGTTCCACTCACTATTTTATTACTGAAGATTAAAAATGTCTAAATTACCCGTGGGTTGGAGTCTACAAGCTCCTACGCCTTGTAAAACTACAAGCTACTTTATCTGCTAAGGCATTTTTTTGTTAGTGTGGCATTTTCCATGACAATGACCCTCAGTGAGGTCACTGAGGTCAAGAGGCATTCCTTAAATAGCCAGCAGCCTTACCTTTCAAAACTGATAGCCAAAATGCAATAAAATTTAAAAATACCATTTAATTATATTTCCACACTCTCTAATCCATACACACAGAGTAAATATTGACCTTTCACATATGGAATTTTTATTTAATATGTTCTCCTATATTTGGAGCTGCATGACCCAGCAGGTAAAGGACGTTGTAAGAAATTAGACCCCAAGGTCAGAAAAACATTCCAATCATGTTCATATGCATTTTAATATATATTTATATATTTCCCTTAAACGTCTAAATCCAACTGATGTAAGACAGTATTCTAATTCAGCTCATGAGATTTTATAAATTCAATCAAATACTCAGTCGTAGAGGAGAGGGAAACAAGAGGGAAAATGGGCCTGCCTCTGCCTCCTGAGTGTTGGGATTAAGGAGTATAAGCTTGGCAACAAGCATTTCACTGGATCATGTGCCACTGGAGACCTGCTCAGCAGCCCACAACTTTTGTTTTGTTGTGCAGTCAATGGGAATGTCTGTGAAAAGCTAAACTTACTCTTGAAACAATAATTTTTAAGTACTTAAAGTGTGCAGGATAAGAAAAGTAGTGGCCATGATCATGTCTTTTCCTGTGTTTCTTGATCGTTCTTTAGCCCCATCAGATAATCAACTCTGGCAGCAGACACAAGGAACACTTAGGACATGAACTTCATTTGGAGACACAATAACTGCAGGGTATTCTGATTATATATGCACTTCCAATATTGCAGGCACTTGCAAAATGCAATAGGAAGCTACCTATCCTTTAAATTATCTCTTAAATTACATCAAACTCAAATTCAGCGCCCATCACTACAGTTCTACCTTAGCGTGTGTGTGTGTGTGTGTGTGTGTGTGTGTGTGTGTGTGTGTGTGTGGTACAGAGGTCAAAGAATATCTTTCAGGAGTCTGTTTTCTCCCATCACGTGGGTTCCTGGGATTGGACTCAGGTCTTCAGGTTTAGCTACAAGATCCTTTACCCACTGAACCATCTTTAAGAGGCCCACTATCTTCTTAAAGAGGTGCTATATTGAATTGAAGTTTAAGTATAGCGATGTGATGGCTCAGTTGGCACAGGTGTTTGCCTCCAGGCCTGGAACACTCGTGGGGAAAGAAAAAACTGATATGTGATTTCTTCCTACCAGGACCTTCGCTCAGCATCTGTACAATTCTTACGTTATGGGGACATAAAGAAAGTAAAGTGGACCCTGCCTGCTCTCAAACACACCTACACTTTTTTGCAGGGGGTGGGGGGAGCGGTGTTAATATTGAGAGGTCCAGCAACCTTCCAAAAAACAGCTTTTCCTTCACGTTCTTGGTCTACTGCTCAACTCACAAATAAGGAAGAACAGATAAACTCAGGACAATGTATGAGGAAGCAGCGTGAAGTACTACAGCTTAACATTCAGGATGTTAGAAAAGTTTGCAGCAGGTTAAACAGAATGGCAATGAGATCAGTCCCTAAAAACTCCGAGAATGGTGAGGTATTGAGGAAATCCATGTTCTTTCACCATTCAAAAAAAAAAAAAAATCTCAACCTCTCAACCCCTTAGGACAGAATTCCAGAGCTCTTGGGTGAGAAGGGGCAGGGACAGAAAAACTGCCAGTGTCCCATACATAAACGCAAACCTTAACATCACACTCTCTGGTTGGTGCAACGGTCCCCACTCATGGACTCAGAGGATGGTCTGATTGGATAATTCTCAAAACCAGTTTGGAGACAGATTGGAAAGGAAAACTCAAGCTCCAGCTGCCTTAAGAGAAGCCTGTCCGTTTACCGCGCCTGGGCGCCACAGATGAAGACTTCCCGCCAAGAACCTGTGCATAAGGGGAAGAAAAAAAAAAAGCCTATGTAGAGCAAACAAGCCCGGAAGCCCAAAACTTACACAGGGATACTGCCTCCACCAGGAGCCAACATGATGGTGCTGAAAATGACGCTAACTTTTTATAACGCGTTACCCCACGCCACCCACGGAAACTCGCATTAACCGGGCTGTGCCTCAGGCCGCACAGCTGCATAGTCAGCTGACCGGTGCAACAGGAGCAAACGTTACCAGAGAAAGCTCAGCTCTTTTGATTGAGACTTGTGGGTGGCTCTGAAAAGAGCCGTTGAGGTTTAAGGCAGGACGGGCCACTTCACTTCTTGCGAGGGGCGGCCTTCTTTGCCTTGGTGGCCTTCGGCTTGGAAGCCTTGGGCTTGGCAGCCTTGGGTTTGGGGGCTTTGGCCTTGGCGGGGCTCTTGGCTGGCTTCTTGGGCTTGGCTGCCTTCACCTTCTTCGGGCTCTTGGCAACTTTCTTGGCACCAGCGGCGGCCGCAGGTTTCTTGGCCTTCTTCGGGGTCTTCTTGGCGGCCTTCTTGGGGGTGGCGGCACCAGTCGCCTTCTTGGGCTTCTTGGCCGCCCCCGCGGGCTTCTTGGCCTTGGCCGCGCCCGCCTTCTTGGCTTTGGGCTTGGCCTCGCCGGAAGCCGCCTTCTTGTTGAGCTTGAACGAGCCGGAGGCGCCGGTGCCCTTGGTCTGCACCAGGGTGCCCTTGCTCACCAGGCTCTTGAGCCCGAGCTTGATGCGGCTGTTGTTCTTCTCCACGTCGTAGCCGGCGGCCGCCAGCGCCTTCTTGAGCGCCGCCAGGGACACGCCGCTGCGCTCCTTGGAGGCGGCCACGGCCTTGGTGATGAGCTCGGACACCGGGGGGCCGGACGCCTTGCGCTTCCCGGCGGCGGCGCCGGTCTTCTTCGCCTTCTTCTTCACAGGTGCCTTCTCCACAGGTGCAGGAGCCGCAGGAGCTGCGGGAGCCGTCTCAGACATGTTTCACGCCTTGCTAGAGAGGCCAAAAGTAAGCAGAAACTGTCAGGGAGGGTTGAGCCCGGGGCTGAGGGCCCTGGGTTTATATAGAGAGAAGCTGCGTGGTGATTGGTTCCCTGCGCCGAGCGCCGCGCTACCAGAGAAAAGATCCTCAGCTCTGCCTTGTGGCTGTGTTTGTTGCCCCTTAAAAAAGAGTAAAAATATAAGAAATGTGGGCACGAAAAAATCGGGGACTTGGGGGAAACTGATCCGAGAGCCTGTGGGCTTCGTTCTGGCCTTAATTTGTACAGCTACACTCAAAATCGACAGCCTGAAACTTCCCTGATGTCCCCAACTCTCTTTCAAACTTCACGTAAATCGAGACAACTTTCAGGTTTTCCTTAAAAATACTATTCCTCTCGCGATCCTTCTCAAACTTTTGCTTCAGGACATGGTTCTTCACATCCTCATCGCTTCAAGATTATGTGGATTAACTCGTTTTTGCTGAAATATGAAGGGAAAACCGAGTTTTTCGCGGAAGCAACAGCACAGGCGCTCCCGGGGCTGTCCGCACCAAGAGCGAGGAATTGGCACTGGATGGGAAAGCTGTGTGTGCCGGGGGGGATAATTCTTGGATAAAATATCGATTGTTTTTTAAGGTATTGGAGATACCGGTGTGTAACGCTCCTCCGATTTTCACCTGGTGGCGAGTGAGCCTTTTTCTGGAGGTGGATGAGTCTGTGCCATTCCTCTTGGAGATCAACAACTCTAAGCACATTTCTGCAGATCCAAGTAGAGAGGTGGAGACCAGCTCTCACATTTACAAAAATAAATTAAAGACCTAGGTCAAGAAGAAACCGAAGTTTATCAGCTGGGAGCTGAAGAAGAGTGGGATATAACCTGACTTGACAACGCATTCCTTGTTTAGAATGTACAAGCTGCCGGGACACTACGTTAGAGCTGTTTCCCCCTTCCAATACTTATCAAGCTTTCTACACACTTCCGGTGTAGTAAAGCAATCTGAATTTCAGTATTGAAGAAATAAGCAGAATTTGAAAGAAATTCATAATGGCTACTGATCTCACATATATGTAATATATTATACACATAGAACAGCCTGTCACGAGCAAAGTTTTTAGCTGGTTGAATCCCGCGGAGAACTTACACATTTCAGACTCAGCAGAAATGACACGTAAACTCCATCTGTTTGTTTGCAATACAATAAAGCTAATATAGTTGGATTCTTATTAGTTAATGAGGCAGAAAAGTAATATTCCCCATCCAACATACATGTCAGTGAAGACCCATGTTTATTGAACATATAAGTGTTTTGGTGTTATATTTTAATAAATCCTTATATTCGCCAAAAGCGATTATGGCATAAACTTAATGATTTAAAGATATCCTTATGTTAACACAAGACTAACTACTCAGTGCTTAACACAGCTTCACTTCCTTAGTTAAATACATACACATAACTTACATGATTTAAAATGATCATTTCATCAGTGGGAACAAGAATCAAGTCTCCGGGCTACAATACTGTAGTATGATACAAATCATTAAAATATATGCTATATACAAGGTTGCCCAGCTGACCAGACTGGATTAGAATCACTCGATGAAGCCCTTGGGTGGCATTTTCTTATTATATGGAAGGCACTAACTGTATTTGTGGCTCACTGTCCATAGCGGTCATCACAGAAAACACATCAACATTTTCCAGTTTTATATATAGCTTTGAATTGAAGTTCCATTTTCTATACTTTTTTGGTAACCTCTAGTGTTTCTGGATGGAAAAAGAAAAAAAAAATGAGACTTCACCTAGAAGATGGTTTTCCACGTGACTACAAGACAGGACATATGCTCCATAAAGATCATTTGTACTGCTGTTGCCTGACTGCTTATCATGACAACTGCAGAAAGAAAAGGCTTCCTGAAACCTAGATCAACCATGGGACTGCAAATTTGAACCCATAAGAAGCTTCACTCATTTCCACTCATTACTTTAGAGGCTAATACCAAAAAACATGTTTTTGGTCTCAACTCCAAAAATCTACTTATATCCTGAAACAGCAGATTATTCTCTGTAGTAAGGCTTGCACTGTTTTTTCTTTGTTTGTTTGTTTTTTAAGATTAAAAACGGGTAATAAAAATTCCTAAGTGAGAGCCATGAAAATTATGACTTCATCCTCTCTGAATATTGTGTTAGACAGACACAAACACACACACATACAAATGTACACCATTACCATAGTGACAGCTTAGAGATACCAGCTTCATGACTCATACTACGGGACTTGTTCTTGGGCATTCTAAAATCTAGAGACTTTAAATCGACAGTGGTGGTGCACGCCTTTAATCCCAGTGCACGGGGAGGCAGCAGAGGCAAGCAGACCCCTGTGAGTTCAAGGCCAACTTGAACTGGTGAACAGAGCAAGTCCAGCACAGCCAAGGCTACACAGAGAAACCTTGTCTAGAAAAAATAATAATAATAATAAATTTCAAGAAAAGAAGGCGACAGTCTTAGTAGAGTCAAATGTGCTCAAAAGGTCTAAGAAAGTAAAGGTATCAACTTTACATCCCTTTCTGTTGACATCACGTGAACATACTGGCAACTTGAAACATGTCCCACTGCTGGTCTGCGTCAACTTCATTTTCTAAAATGAACACTTTTAAATACTTACATAAACGCTTTCAAATATCCAGTTTTCTTTTTTCATCTCTCTCTTCTCTCTCTCTCATTCTCAATCTCTCTCTCTCTCCCTCCTTCCCTCTCTCTCTCTCTCTCACTTTCCCGACCCCTCCCCGCCATATCTTTTACATGTGGATGCTGAATAGCTTCTTGTGTGCTTGAAAAGTATTCTAAATCCTCCGTTTTCAGAAAGACCCATTCTCCAATGTCCAATGCATTCCCATCTGCAGACTAGGTACCTGAAGCCCTGTGTGATTAACAAGTTTCAGAGCAAGGTCAATACCGCTGGGATATTGCCGCTTCATTGGAACACCAGGTTAACAGGTAGGAATATGCTGAGTTGGTGCCACGTCACACCCCTCAGCCTGAATTTAGTTTCCTCTTACGTGGCCTTTGAGTTCTTTACATGGGGGAAAGAAATCCAATGTTTTGTTATTGTTGTCATTTTTTTCTTTTTTTAATTTCACTTGATTTACTTTACATCCATCCTCCCTCCTCTCCTGCCAGTCCCCCCCTTTCCCAAAAAGGGGAGCCCCCTCCCCTGTATCAACCCACCCCAGCACATCAAGTCACATCAGGACTGAGCATAGCTTCATACCCCGAGACCAGGCAAGGCCTCGCTGATAGGGGAAAGTGATCCAAATGCAGACAATGGGGTCCAGGTTAGAAAGAACACTCCCCTCCACTGTGTGGTGCCCATATGAAGACCAAGCTACCCAATAGCCACATATGGGCAGGGCGCTCACTGTTTTTAAAGACAGCATTCTCACACCAGTGTTTGGCGTTCTGGCATTTAGAGGGAATGGGGCGGAAGACTGGTTGGTGTCTTTCTGGAAAGGACCAGGGAGAGCTCTGTGTATTAATGGAAATAAGCTAAATCCCAAGTAGATTCTGAGTGCTTGGGACTTGTTTTGAATATCCTTCTCTCTTCTATCACCATAGGAATGCCTCGGACAAGACTTGCCAAATCACATCTTTAAAATGCCCTCTCTTGAACAAGGATGAGGCTCACAGGAGCACTACGGACCCTAGATACAGAAAATTGCCTCCGGTTTAATGCAGTCTGGTCTACAGGATGTATTCCAAAAATGCCTTCCAAGAAAATAAATAAGTAATAGAGAGAGAGAGATACATACACACATACATGCATACGTAGATACATAGATAAAATTACCTCTGTAGAGAGATGATAGGTAGATACATATAAATAAAATTACCTCTGTAGTGTTCAAAAACGGACTGAACAAAATTGTGTGCAGTGTGAAAAAACATTGAAATTTGTCAGACATTTAAGACTGATGAATGTGAACAGCCTCACTTCGGTAACATTTTATTGAAATGTTACTTTACAGAATTTGAGTCTTCCTTTAGTTTAATTTGCAAACATTACTCAGTTTCCTGAGTACAGACGACACTGGTTAGCAAGGCCGTGAGACACAGAATCCTCCTGAGCAACAAAAGCTTTTATTAAAAGAGGATTAGTTCTCCAACCCTGGATGAGTCTTCATCCTTCCAGTCCAAACAGCATTCTATGAGATGGGAAACGGTGCATATTCAACCAGTAACAGCTCCCTTCACACAGATTTGAAAACGAAGCTGTGTGCAGGCTTCTGGTAGAGGAAAAGAGCTTCATGACTGACAGGTCAAATGTATTAATGCTTGCAAAATTTTACACTTTGGATTTTTTTTTCTAAATCTTCCGTTTAAAAGGTGATCTTTTTGTGCTGTATCTGGTTTTTCAAGAAAGTGTATGGCTACAACTTCCTTTTTACAAAGGACGGGTGGGTGGGAGAATTATAAAATACCGGCTGTCACAGCCCACAAGCACAATCCTAAAAGACACAAACCAGTGACTGAAAACTCCAGGAAGTAAGCGGCAGAGTCTCAGCACCCCCACACCACGGCGCCTGCGCCTCCCGGGCAACACGAGTCAGCCAGTGAGGTTGAGGGGCGGATACAGCAGCACCTTCCCGCCCGCGCCTTTTCAGTTTCCTAAAAGGTCCGCCGTCCCGGTATATATAGCAGCTGTAGAGGGCGATTGAGCCACTTGAGTTCAGCTCTCAGACACTCTACAGCCATGTCTGGTCGCGGCAAGGGCGGGAAGGGCCTGGGCAAAGGCGGCGCCAAGCGCCACCGCAAGGTGCTGCGCGACAACATCCAGGGCATCACCAAGCCCGCCATCCGCCGCCTGGCCCGGCGCGGAGGCGTGAAGCGCATCTCCGGCCTCATCTACGAGGAGACCCGCGGGGTGCTGAAGGTGTTCCTGGAGAACGTGATCCGCGACGCCGTCACCTACACGGAGCACGCCAAGCGCAAGACGGTCACCGCCATGGACGTGGTCTACGCGCTCAAGCGCCAGGGCCGCACGCTCTACGGCTTCGGCGGCTGAGCTGCCCCCGAGCCCCATCTCGCCAAACCCAAAGGCCCTTTTTAGGGCCACCCACCTTGTCATATGAAGAGCTTGCAACATTTCTCATTTCGTTTATCATACGCTCTAAACTCTGGTTCCTGTGCGGACGTTAAAGATGGCGGCAGAGGTGAGCCAAGGTACCCTTCCCCCTGCATCCTTGGTTAGGGCCTGCTTCCCCTTTGGGTGCTGCAGCTCAAGACAGCCAGGTCTGCCTCAAACCTCAGTAATATCAAGTGCCAGTATTAGACTTTGACCGGCCTGTGACCAACGCTTTCCCTCTACATTGCAATTCGACATTCTGTGTTCTTTCCGGGTTCTATTGAGTAATCATCAAGATGGGTTGTTTGTTGCATTAAACAGCCGCTGGTCCTCCGATTAATCTCTCCACAAAGTGAAGGACATGCATGGGTGTTCCCCAAATGCTTTTCGCCCTTTTAATGGATGTCTTAAATAGTACCTGTGTTCTAAGCGCCTTATAATCAGACTTCCGCTGCAACATTTTCCTAAACAACTTGGGATTTTTTTTTCTTTCATCTCTTGTGCGAAAATAAGATTCTCTTAACTGACGATCCCTGTATCCGAAGAATAGACATGGAGTCCTGTGTTTCACCTGACATCTGTCTGGCCTCCACAGCTTCATTACTAACCCTGACTGGACTGAATGACACATTTCTTCTTTCAAATAAAATTTCCCAGCTGTACATGTGTGGCTTGTCTACCGTCATTTAAAAAAAAAAAAAAAAAAAAAGGTCTTTTTGAGCCTACCCGTTAGTACCTGGGCCAAGTACTGCCAGCACCAATTACAGAACTTAACATACAGTAAGTACTCAGGCCAAATAAAACTAACTAAAGGCTCTGAAGACAAGACTGGCCTCCCTCTGAATAACTTTGGCCTGCAATATAAGAATTAGACTTTGATCAAGAATACCCGTGTGAGTATAGCAGTGAAGAGCAAAATAATTGTAAACCCTTTCATACCGGTGAGATTGGAACATGATCTCTGAACAAGTCACTACCCTAGTCAGAATTACGAGAAAGAGCTTTCACTAAGAAAACTACCTTCGCTTCTAAGCAGCAAGAGGACCCCAAACTAATTCTTTGCTCTCTGTCTGAAGCTTTCTTCTATGAGTCCACATTCTAGACATAACGCCCAATTTTATGTTTGACATATATTCTTCTTTATGAATTCTGTACACTGTGGGAGTACTCGGTGTGTTCCCCATGAGCCTGAACAATTGTACCGTAACTGAAGAAAATGTGAAAGTGTTAGGCCTACTTAGTTCACTGTGGGTCTGATAAGGCCACAGGACAAGAAGCAACGAGTAAGAAGTGAAATGACATCCCGGCCATCTGCTCTGTGAGTCAGCGTCTTGAGTTAGGCATCTAAGTCTTTGTGCTTGGTAAGCAGTAGCTTTGACAGTTCTGAGGCATTTCACAAAATTAATCCTGAGTTTCTCAGTTTACAATAAACCCTCTTTGTTCAATGCTACCAGGCCTGCTTCCTCCCTCACGTGACCTGTTCTCCATCTCCAGTGTTAGTGTTTACTGTCCCTTGCATCATAATCTGACATCCTTTCTAGCCTTTGCTAATGTCTGAAATGCCCTGTTTATAAATGCTCCCATTCCAGCTCACGTCAGAATCAAGACCAGGCCTAGAAAAATAACATTCCTGCTCAAGGCCAGCACCTCAGAACAGTGAACCATGAAGCTTCTGGCTTCTCCCAGAGAGAAGCCTTCTATACTTACCTGCTCAGAGGACCTCGCTCCCTCGCTCCTCTCCCCTCTCTCTCCCCCAACCTCTTTCTTATAAATAGCTCTAAAGAATTTCTAATAAACACATTTTTGCCATCCATTTATTTTCCCTCATTTTTTTTTATTTTATCGTCTACTACCTAACTACGACTGTGTGTGTAAGAGAGAGAAACTGGTCTGAAGCACTTGAAAGTAAATTTCAGACACCAAGAAACACCGTCCCCAAACACTTCAACATGTGGCTCCCAAGAATAAGGAAATTTTACATATAATTTTCATATAACTGAAACCAACAAGCATTTTTAAGCCCCCCAAGCAATATACGTTCCAATTCACATCTCTTCTCTGTTACAGTCTGACTACCCTTTAGAGCCAGAATCCAACTAATTATTTTGTCTTGCTACCATATTGTTCAAGTTTGTTTTAGACTTGAACTAGGCCGACCCCCACCAAAACCTGGATTATTTAAAGACAAGGTCTGTTTCATGAAGCTAGGGACACCCATGAACTGGCCATTTTGTTGAGGGTCACCTTGAAGTGCTGATCCTCCTGCCTCCACCTCCCAAATTGGAGAATTATAGACATATACCACCATGACCGCAATACACATGACTGGAGACGTATACTAGTCTAATGCTCTCCCAACTGAGCTAGAACCCTGACCCCATTTCTTTTAATGTCAAGGTTTGTTGTTGTTTGTTTGTTTGTTTGTTTGTTAAGAAACAAATAAGTGTCACATAGAACATTCCACATTCTGGATATTAGTGTCTGTCCCTCTTAAGATGCTATTCAACAGGCCCCTTATTTACTATGAACATCAGATTGAAAGAAGTGAGGAGCTTTACTTTGTTTCTTGTTTTATTTGTACACAGGGTTTCTCGGTGTGGTTCTGGCTGTCCCTGAACTCATCAGTCTGTAGACCAGGCTGACCCTGAACTCAGAAATCTTCCTGTCTCTTGACTCTCCCCCTGCTTCCCACGTGCTGGACGTAAAGCTGTATGCCACCATGCCAGACAAAAATTTATTTCTTAATTTTTTTATTTATTACAATTTATTCACTTTCTATCCCAAGTGTAGCCCCCTCTTTCATCCTCTCCCAATCCCACCTTCCCTCTTCTTCTCCTGTGCCCCTTCCCCAGTCTACTTATAGGGTAGGTCCTCCTACCCTTCCATCTGACCCTAGCTTATCAGGTCTCATCAGGACTAGCTGCATTGTCTTCCTCTGGGGCCTGGCAAGGCTGCTCCCCCCACTCACATGAGGATAAAACTATTTCTAATAAGTGAATTTATATTAGTGCTCAGTGCTGCTAAAGCACATAAACTGTACAAAAACGGGGAGAGTAACATTTGAGAGTCTCGGCAGCGAGTGTGGGAGCACTTAGCGCATACAGCCCAACGCCCTCAAGATTTTCTACAACTGCTATCGGGGTGAAGCTAGGGAGCACCATTGTGGTTTGAAATAAGGCTGCTCAAGTAGCATGCTGTCAACAGAAACAAAACTAAATCCAAAAAGGACTAAAAGATTTACTATCTTAGCTTGGGTTGTTGACAAAGGAGATGCGACTTTGTGACAAGGACACAGGAAAAAAGCCCCCATTCCAGTAGCAAGTCATTCTTAGATGACACTAGGCGTGAGGTGTGAGTTTTGAAAGTGCGTGGCCCTGAAAAGAACCTTCTCCAGACACCAGGCTCAAAGCACCAGCTGCAGCTCATCTGCGGAGTGCCTGGACCACTTCCACATCTGCGAGTCTCGTGTTTGGAACGCTCCCGGGAGGTGCACGGAATCCAAGAACTTCCCCCCGCGGGAGCTTGACTACTCCGCGTTGGACGGGAAGCTTGAGGATGCCCTGCGTATAACGCAGGCGCTTGGGGTAGGCGCTTGACCAAGTCCTTCTCGGTTTTTGCCAAGACTGGACCTGTTGAGTACGAGAGTAATATTGGATATTCTGATAAGCCAACCCCTTAGAACTTTCGCAATAGAGCGAGGGAATCCCGCCCTCTGAGATGTTAAGGACTGCAAAATTGCTGCCTCCACAATGTGAGGGAACATAGGAGAATGCTGAGTACTGAAACACCTCAGAAACCCTTACAACCAAAGTGCCAGCACTTTTCAAAAGTGTAGGTGGCTCTGAAAAGAGCCTTTGGGTTTGTGACTGCGCAGTGAGATTTAAGCCCTCTCCCCGCGGATGCGGCGGGC